TTTCAATCGCATCCCCGTTGTTGTAACAACTTGACAAGGCGCCACGCGACAACCCTTTAGACTATCGCCGAGAGGAGAATGACATAAGACATTCCCGTTCTGACTCTCGGGCGCCATATGACCGTCTCTGTCGCAAGCTCTATCCTCTCTCCCACTCCCTTCTCTTTTCCGCCGTGTCCTCCTTCCCCCCCCCCTCCCCCCTCGTCTCCTCATGCTCCCGCGCGCGCACCGCCACATCCACTACATTCTACTACCGTCATTCCTTGCCCTCGCGCGCGTCTCACCGGTCACCGGTCCGCCCACCTACTACCACCCCCGCACTTCCTCCCACCACGAGCCTCACCACTACCAGGGTACTCCGACTAACACATCTGCACCGTCGCCAGTCCGAGAGCCATCGTCGGGAGCGAGAGAAGTGATGTAAGGAAGGGAGAAAGAGAAACAGAGAGGGAGAAATTACGTGGGAAGAAGAAAAAGAGGGGACAAAGAAGTCACGAGAAGAGATGAGCAAGATGGAGAACAAGGAAGCCGTGTATGAGGACGAAGAGATGAGGAGGCGGAGAGAAAAAGACAGAGAGAGAGGGAAAGAGAAAGAAAGAGGAGGAAGAGAGAGAGAGAGAGAAGCAACCAGGCACAAGCATAGCATAGCGTAGCATGGCACGGCATATCCATAGACATATACACTGTGTCTATGGGCATATCGACGAGATCCGACAACAGCCGAGCGCCGCCGAACACGGCCGATTCGGACCCTGCGCGCTCAACCCAAACCCGAGAAAGCATAGTTGCATTTAAACTGCCATCCTATTCGGGAGGTCTCTCTCTCTTCCTGAATCCTGAGGACGACCTCGGGGAACGGACTTTACTTGAGAGTCGTCGCGCGCGTATCGATACGTCGTTGTGTTTCCGTCTCGCATCTGTCATTAAAAAAAAAAAAAAAAAAGAGAGAAGGTGAAAGGGAAAAAAGAAAAAAGACCCAGAACCCAGGTCCGAGGGTTGTGATGACCCACAGGTCGGGACACATACATGGTCTGACGTCACAGGAGCGCTTTAACTTGTTGGATTCGACGCGAGTGCAACGCGAAAGTGAGCCGGTCCGCCGCGGCTTCGACCCGGTTCGACCCGAGGGGGAGAAGGTGAAGGGGGAGGGAGGGGGAGGAGGAGAAAATCGCGGAGGTGTCGGACGTCGACATCGTGGTGGATCTGACAGCGGACAGATGGACGATGCCCTTCTGATCGTCGTCGTCGTCCGTCGTCGTCTTTCGGACGAACACCAAGGGCATCGGGGCATCTTTTGTCCGGAGTTTCCGGTAGCGTGCGACGCGTCACCTTCGTCACGCGTTTCTTCCTCCGTCGCGAGTTCTATATCCTCAATGCTTGCTTCGCGGTCTTCGTCATTCGTCACTCTTCAGCTTGCCACACTGTACTGCACATTTCTTTCGAGAATAGGATTTCTTTCGCGCGCGCGCGGTCATCATATGCGACGAGCTAACCCAATTAGTGCAAAATTGATGGATAAGACATCATTAAGAAATCTTATGATGTGATATTCCAAAGACATCTCAGAAACATGTTACAGATGTCCAAAATTAGTGCATAAGACATCATTAAGAAATCTTATGATGTGATATCCCAAAGACACGTCTTAAAGATGTCCAAAATTGCGCATAAGACATTATTAAGAAATCTTATCCCAGAAGACATCTCAGAAACATCTTAGAGATGTCTTTTGCACTAATTTTGGATATGATGGTGTCTGGGAAAGTTTCGTTTTGTTCACTGACAGTTACGATTATTCTGTGCGCGAAATTAACGAAGATTCTTTTAAATGTTCGAATAAAGCGAAACTAGACGAGATCAGGCAACTGTATTTCGAGGCAATTGTGATATTCTTGTACAAGACGTAAATTTCTTCTAATCCCTTCTTTTAGTTTGAGTCCTGATCATCTGGAAGAATCAAACTTGATTCTCTTTCTCTCTCTTGAATTTGCTGTTACGTCAATCTCGCTATTTATATTGAGTAAATCTGAAGACATGTCAACATAAACTAAGATATCTTAACAATTCGTATCTAGAAATATGTCTGTCTTTCTTTTTAACGAAATTAGACTGCTGTCTGGTCTTTCGCCAATTATTTGTCACTATCTGTTGGAAACTGACACCGACGATAATAAATAACGACGGCACACCCAAAAACACACAGCAAACTGCAAATAAATCAGACAAATAATTGTTGCTTTGCAAACTACATTTTAAAATCATTACTGACATTGCCTAGAATCTTAGTGTTCAAAAAGTTTTGTCCCTGAGAAAATTGCGACTTATTAATTATTTTCATATCAAAAATTTTATGTCAGAGAATCTACAGTATATATATTTTATCTTCGCCAGTTCAAAGAGAGAGAGAGAGAGAGAGATTTTTGATCACTGATCGGGTTTTATCATCAATCGAAGTATCATTCTCGTCACACTTCAGAGTGAATACATGATTGAGCTTAAACTAGCGAGGCAAAGTTCAGTCTGAACTCGGTGTTCTCGAACCCGGAGTTGGGATTATATTAAAGGTTGCGGAGGGCATCGTGCACTCGCGGGAAGAGTTTTAAGATCGTTGGTGAAGTTTCAGCGAGTCCATTCGCGGGTCGGCGATAGGTGTTCGCACTTTTGACGCGCAACGTAAAGAGTGATGTGAAATTATTTTGTGACAACCGACAAACGAGAAAGGAAATTGCGCGAAACGTCCACAAATTGGCACGTTATCATTTATCATTAAATTTATTATATTCGGAATGCAGTATTAAAGAAAAATCTTTGAATTCAGACATCTTGAATGCATCTATGATTTTCCATACTTGGAATGCGCTGTCACTTAATTTATTCTGATACAAGGAACGAAAATACGGGTATATATTTGAGGCTTATTGGAGTGATCGACCCAAGACGTGATGCAAATCGGTGTTGACAGTGTATACCTTGCGCCCGAAATACTAAATATATATATATATATATATATATATATATATATATATATACTGGATGCTGTTAACGAGGACACCCGTCGCCTCGTTGATCAATAAGATTTGCCGTGGACGATATATCGCGTACGAAAAAGCGGGAAAATCCCATCCGTGGAAAACTAGAGTGACACGTCCTCAAATTTGATTTCTGACGAAGCCAACGATAATTGTCAATCGCCCGCAGAAGTGAATCGACGAATAAGGATGGGATCAAATTCAATATGTACTTAAAAATCAGAATCGAATTTAATAAACAAATTTTATTTTCTTAAGGATTTGAATAATATTCACGAAAAATAATTCCTATAGTGTACTTGTCCGAAGTAATCGAATCTAGAAATGTTATGTTTGAATGTTAAATCGAATGTCTGCAAGATTCGAAATAGTGCTTGTAAATACTGCTTTCTGTCGCAAAAAAATCAGATCTTTTATTCGAATTCTAAGATGAAAAAATATATTTATGACACTTGCTCTATATCAGTCAAAAAATCGATTTCCATTTTAAAGTGAATTTTTCGAAAGTAGTAGTACTTTCTGAACAAATTGATATTACTGTCTTGTGTCTCCCTTAAAGTCAAACATTAAAATGTGTAATTTTATATATATATATATAATGTAAAATTTCTCATAAAAGATTCGAACATACTTGATCCAGGTTCGAATGTACTTGGAAGTACTGCTCTTGTCTTTTTAAAGTACCATAGAAAGTTGGAACATATCTCGTTCAGATTCAAGTCTACTTGAAAGTACTATTTTTTCGACCTAATCACAAAGAGTTCGAAACTATGCGAACAAATTCGAAGCTATATTTGTAAGACAGACTTAAATTCCATCAGTGTCAACGAAATCTCCAAGTTCCAATCTTTTCTAAATTTTTCTTTCGGCCGTGATTAATCATTCCACCGATTAACGTAATCAATCTCGAGGTCAACGCATTATTTCGCTGTTGTGCTATCATTTTTTTTTCCTTTAATCGTGTGTAAAACGCAAAACCGTGAGAAAGAATGACTCGGAGATCGATGACTTCGGAGTCGAAGTTTGGAAATGCTTTGTTCCCGCTAAAAAAAGGTGTTTGAAAAAAAAGAAGGGCTCCGCGCGCACGGATCGATATATCGGCTTGACTCTCCATCCCTCCTCGCCCTTCTCTACTCCCGGGATGATGTTTCTCCCAGATATCGGTGTGAACAAATATATACGACGAGTATATTCATTGATAACGCGATTCTCGCTGAAGCTTTTACGACGTAGATTAGTTTATCTATTTTGAAATCACGAGATTCTCTTACGGGGATTAAAACTCAGAATAATGACATAATTAATTAACAACATTGACAGATGGCGATTGAATCGTCACGTTTCGAACAATTTTCCTTATACATATACATACAATTGAATTATTTAACGTTTCGATGCTAATACACGCCTTTGTGTATCGACTCTTGCTTCGCATACCAAATCACGGATTCGTAATTAACGTAATAAAACATGAAACTGGGGAAGAAGTGCTGAAGACTAGAACTAATGAATAGTGATTAGGAGCCTAACATTCGCGACTCGCTTAAACAATCGTGCAGTCTGTGTTGCGGAAATTAAGCAAGATTTCCCAACGGTGGGTGGAAAACGCCGTTCCGAGGAATGAATCATCGTGACGCAATGTTTCGTAACACGCAGTTTGTAAAATTATCCGCGACCTTCCCCCTCTCATATTTACCTACTGCGATTATTCGAATCACGATTCTTCATAGCCACACTCTCGATTGGCGATGGGATTAAGTGTCTTACAAGTAGGTTCAAATTTATTTGCATAGTTTCGAACTCTATGATTATCTGGGGATAAAATACTTTCAAGTAGACAAGAAGGATCAAATATTATATGTTCGAATCCCTTATGAGTACTTATGAGAAAATGTCGAAAGAGGTCATCAATTTTTGTCATCTTGTCTCTTTGTAACTAAGCCTTAAATTAAAATTCTATTAAAATAAATTCTAAATCTAAAATTAAGTGAAAATTGTAGTTTTGTTAATATTTTAACTCTACAAAGTTAAGTTTGTAAGTTCTTCCTTTTGAATCGTTGATAACTTGAAAATTATTGGTGTCTTGACACTTTCACTGAGGAAAAATCATCTCCAAATTATTATAGGCAGAGAATTTTATGATATGCTGCATATATATTTGTTCAGTTACATCAAATTCGATTTTTTGGATAGATTTTTGGATGATAGAAAATATACTTACAAGTTTGATTTAAAAAAATCTTGTTGATAAGCTTGATCTAAAATTCATTAATTATAACTGTTCTAGATTCAATTACTTTACAAGTACAATATGAAATATTATTTCTTATGAGTTTTATTATTTCTGAAACCTAGAATTTGATTGTTGGATTCGACTCGGATTTTTAAATACATATTGAACTTGATCATTTCATCCCTATCTCGGTGGCATAAAGTAAAGCGATGTAACGTCGCCGTCGACACGTTTACTTGTTGCATCGCAAAACTTCGCTAACCGAAATTTCTCACACTTTCTCTCTCTCTCTCTCTCTCTTTCTCTCGCGGGCGCACAGTTCTATAAATTCACAATAACTCGTGGAATTAGCGCAAATCCCGCCGTCGATGTCGCAACGTATCCATAATTATACGCGAAATCTCAGTGGGAATTAGACACAACAGTGCGATATACAATCGAGGTACGTGTTTTTGACAAAACATCTTCGCGATAATGCAGGTTAAATAGCGTAGTCGGATATCAGCAAGTTGAAGTAAAATTACAGCGCACGTGATGACGACTGGTTATAACTTGAAGTGTTACAATTCAAATAGCATTTGCTTGTGTTTACCGACGTTTCTAAGAAGCTTCGCTCGTATTATCTCGAAACATTTGCGCAATCTTATACTTATTAGTTCTGTCATCTTGAATATTTTTTTTATCTATGGCTTCTCCTTTCAATGGTACAACTTTTCCAATAACGCTTGGAATATCAACGCCTCGATAACAAGCAACATCGTATCCCGAGAGTTGCATAAAATGGTAGGAAGAGTAGAAAGAATAGCAAAAAGAGTAAGAAGGAAATGTTTTTTTGTTGCGTACAAATGTGTAATGATATTCGTGTCTTCAGACAGGATCTATAGAATAGGATTGTCCTCGTTCTGGATTTATTATTGCAATTACAACAAACGGCTACGCTTCTCTTTGAAGTCTTTATCATCAAGTAAGGAAAGCACTTGAGAGAGGAGACACAGTTATCAAAACTCGCGACGGAGAAGCCAATGGAGAAACAAATTTACTGAATTACTTTTAGACGCAAATGCCCTTTGAAGTCGGAAAGCGGTCTTATTTTACAGTTACAAGAAGAAAGCTCGCGGAACTTTACGGATAATAGTGCTACGCTAGCTATAACAGTGGCAATATCTCTATTTACCATTGCTTATTACTATCTCATATTAAACCATATTAAACAATCGTGTTGTTTTATTTGGAGTTTTTAGAAAATACACGAATTTCCAGAAACTCATATCTGTCCACATCGCATATAATCGCATAAGTTTCTCTTGAAAAACTTCAAACTTCTCCAAGTCCTCCACAATTCTTCGCTCATTTTGCTCCGCGATCATGATGATTGCACAATTCGTTCCTTTCCTTCCAGCATCAACAAAAATGTCAATTTCTACCTATTGCAAACGCAATTATTTAAAACGTGTTTCCAAGTGGCGACTTCTACATATTTCGAATACGTAAACATTCGGTACTTCGCAGTTCGTGCAGTTCTGTCACTACGATTGAACATAGGAATCTATCCCGAGTGACCCGAGAAGGAAATTCAAGCGAGAAACTTCATCCACGTTCGGAAGCGTCGCAGTGTTTTCAACCGAGGAGGAAACGTCTATCGATCAGCCTCGACCCGAAAAGGTAAGTAGGCGAGCACCATGGTTACCGTTCTCTCCCTAGCTCGTCTCTCTAACTTTAAATTTCCCGCCATAAATTCAGCTGTTTGTATGGCGAGCAACCTTAACCTTACATTTAGGCGGTAGGCAACAAAATTAAAGTAAATGGATTAAATAAACACACGTTCTCGGATCTATATATATATATATATATATATATATATATATATATATATATCCCGGATCCCGGAACACGGTTTGGTTTATCATAATTATATATATATATATATATATATAACCGTGTTCCAATAACAATATTTATACAGGGCAATTTTATCGAAATACATCTATATATACAGTCTCGGACAAAAGCATTAAGCACCTTTATTTTATGAAATATCTTTTAAATACTTATTGGAAATGATTCTATTGTTAATTTTTATTATATTGAAATTTTTAAAGAGTATTTTTAACCATAGATATATGAGTTAATAGATCAAAAAATAACTGATTTACTTTAATTTGCTATATTCACATTTTTGGAATGTTAGTGCTAGTCTGTCAGATGTCGCTATTGTCGCAAATATATTAGTGCGCATTTTTAGAAAGAAATTTTAAAGAAAGAGAGAATGGAAAATATAGCACCAGAACAATGTCAATAATGTAGCCACTATGCCCAAAAGAATTACTGCTGCAATTAAAGCAAAAAGAGGAGGATCCATTAATATTGAAAAAACAATAAAAACACTTTCATTTTTTTTTATACGGAAACATTATAAGATAATAGAATTATTATAGGGTGCCTAATACTTTTGGCGCTTTTGGCCAAGGCTGTATATATATATATATATATATCAGCCTTGGCCAAAAGCGCCAAAAGTATTAGGCACCCTATAATAATTCTATTATCTTATAATGTTTCCGTATAAAAAAAATGAAATCATATCATTTATAAAGGAAAGTGTTTTTATTGTTTTTTCAATATTAATGGATCCTCCTCTTTTTGCTTTAATTGCAGCAGCAATTCTTTTGGGCATAGTGGCTACATTATTGACATTGTTCTGGTGCTATATTTTCCATTCTATATATATATATATATATATATATATATATATATCGTTAGCTACAGTACTTCCTGTGTATACATTTCGACGTATTCGGAAATTTGAATTCGGACGAATGCAAAAGGCGTATGTTGCTATGCAACGGCGATTCGGATGCTGGGGGAAAACACGAAGGGGGCATTTTGGGGAAAGATTTGCATGAAGATGGAAGGCAATGCGGTTTGCAAATTAAATTGAATTTGCTTCCGAAGAAAGGAAAAAAAAGAAAGGGGAAGAATAAGATTTAAGGCGCATTGAGCGCGTAGAGCGCAAACTGGCAACTTGGAATTAATGCAAATTAACATTTTCGCGCGCGCATGCGCGATGCTATTCTCCCTCGTCTGAAAGAAAGGAAGAGGTGCACAACACCAAAAACCATATACGCTGCAACTGCGCAAATGTCAGACGGAGGAGCCTTAATTAACGTACCGGTGCACCGTGGCGCATTCCTCGCGAGGAATATGCGTGTTACGTCATTAATTATTAATTAACGCCGCAAAATATGGAAATTATGCGCCGATGCACGCACAATATTCACACAAGAAGATATATACGGCATTATAATCTTAAAGCGTACAAAATTTGTTATCCTTTGTGGTTAAATCTTAATTATACCTGTGACACTACTATACGTGTTACAGTCTGCATGAACTCCCTCTCTCTCTCTCTCTCTGTCTCCCTTTATGTTGTATCACGAAAAGTATCACGGCTACATGAATTATTGAGTGAAAAAACGTTATTTGCGGGAAATTACATTCTAAGCACGATGCATGCTGAAGATTAAAATCCAGTGTAAAAGCTGCGTACTACCTTTATCAGCGTTGTTTATGCCGGCGTAACTTTCCGGGGGTGTACAACATGCATAAATATCTCCGTTAAACTCAGGCTGCAAGATTAAAAACTTTTCCCCGCCGTACACACACACATACACAGCGAAGCACACTTTCCGCATAAAATTCTAGCAAATTTACAATTAAATTTTGCAACCGCGGTAATAAAGTAAATAACCGCGCCACCTTTCTATGCAAATTGAATCTAACGCAAACGTTCTTCGCGCCGGAGTAACGCGATTATCGCTATACATCGTCACGCGGAACGATTGTTGAAGAGAAATAGTATATTGTGATACAAGTGCGAGAAGTTGGCAATTGTCGCACGAGTGGGGGGAATGGACGCACGAGCCAAAGGCGAGTGCGGTCACTCCCACGAGTAATGTGTTTTGAGAGAATGATCTTATATTTTTGGCAGTTGTCCAGGTTATAAATTTATTGTACGCAGCTGTATATTTTTCTTTAGATTTTTGAGGCAAGAGATTTTCTACGGTGTTTCTTGCCATTTCTGTAATTTCTGGAGGTGATTCATTTTCACTGTTGTCAAATGTGATGTTCGATGTCATATTGGTTTTTTTATATTGACTCGTTTCAATTAGATTGATGCGATGTAAAAGACTGGAATGGGGACGTAGTAGCGGTTGCGCGCTGCGAGATGGCGTTAGGAAGAAAGTGTTTGTAGCGATTGTAGCATTTGCAGCGTGAAATAATGAGCTTGTAGCGTAAAATAATGGGTTTGAAGCGTGAAATAATGAGTTTGAAGCGTGAAATAATGGGTTTTGAAGCGTCTGTAGTGTGTTGCGTGTGAAAATGGCTACTTTGCGCACAGAAAACAGTGCGCAAAGTAGACATTTACCCGCACGCGTGATATAAAAAAAATAAATCCATCTCCCTTCGAACAAGTAGGAATACTCACGGGGAAAAAGCCCGATCTTTTATCGTCATCGGGATTATTTTACAGAGATTGCGCGCACAACCGTTTGTAAAATAATAATTCCTGGAGATATTTGAAAAGAGGGAGTGAGAGAAGGGAGAAGATCGATCTCCCTCGATGCTATGCTGAGGGCTATTTCGCGTGGCGCGGCCGCGCTATCAGCTGCGTGCGCGAAATGTGGCAGGAATTCGAATCCGAATTTCCCTTCTGCTCCCCTTCTGCCTCCTCGAACTTCCTCCGGCGCGGTCGGTCCACGAGTTACGAGCAGCCGGCCGCTCGCTGCAGGGCTGCAGAAACGAGAAACGACAGCACCCCACGGGAAATTGTATCGACGCGCGCCACCACTCGCGAGCAAATCGATTTCTTTTTACAGTTTCCGAGGAAGGAAGAGCGATTATTGCGCAGCTGCCTTTCTCGTCGCGACTCGCGAGTCGGGACGAACGTGTTTTCGTGGAGAAAAGGGTCGAGAATGTGTTACCTATTTTAAAATTAACTAAATAAAGTTGAGATAAAAATATGTAAATTTGTCTTAGATAAGATGAAGATGATTTTGTTTTAATATCTAGATAAAAGATAAAATTATATGACGATTTGTCTAGGTAATTTTCTAGATAATAATTTTTAAGACTTCTTATGTAAACATAGTATAAAAATGTAAATTATAATAGGGATATAAAAATATATGTATTCATATTTTTATTTATAAATTGTTATCGCTTACTGCTTAAGTTCTACTATTTAAGTATTTTTATGTGCTACAATTCTAAACTAAAATTATCTGAAAATTATTCTAGATAATTTAGTAAAGATAATACTATTTTTCATGTAAGATATAAATAATACACATTTTTCTCTATATAAAAATAAGATGACGCTAAAGTTTCATCTAAATGATCATCTATATAATTTTATTTAGATAACAGCAAACACTAATTACATCCGTATTTATTCCAAGGAAACTGAATTATATTTAATTATTAAATAATAAAAAATAAAGAATATACAAAGTGTAACTGAACAAACATACATATATACGGAACAGACCATCAAATTGTTTGACTAATTTAGAGACAATTTTTCTTCAGTGAAAATGTCGAGACACTAATCATTTTCAAATTAAAAAAATTGTGTAGCATTAACAAAAATTCTGTTCAAAAATAGGTGAAATTATTGATTGAATCTACCAGAATTCTTTTTAATGCAACAAGCATCTTGTTTACACAACAAATTAGTTTTTTGTGTAAACAAGATATTTGTTGCATTAAAATGAATTCTAGTAGATTCAATCAGTAATTTTGTTTCGTCCATTTTCGAACAGAATTTTTATTAATGCAACAAAATTTTTTCCAGTTCAATGATTGAAAAAGAAGAACTTCTCATAAACTTTGTAGAATTAAGATATTAACAAAACTATATTCTTCTTAATTTCAGATAGAAGTTACTTTAATAGAATTTTAATTTAAAGCTCATAGTATAGTATTACAAGATTACAATAATAATTGAGAACATTGCGGGACTACAAAAAATGATGATCTCCCTCATACATATATTAATATAATTGAATATCTCTGAAACGAGATGGCTGAAATAAGACAATATTTTATAAAAAAATTAAAAAGATGAAATCGACATTTTCGAAAATGTCGAAGGGGTCATCATTTTTTGCATGTTCCCAATTTTTGCCATCTTGTATATTTCTAACTAAGCCTTAAATTAAAATTCTATTAAAATAAACTCTATCTGAAATTAATTAAAGAATATAATTTTGTTAATATTTTAACTCTACAAAGTTTTCCTTTTTCAATCATTGATAACTTGAACGTTATTGGTGCCTCGATATTTTCACTGAGGAAAAATCATTTCCAAATTGGCCACAGAATCTGACAATGTGCTCCATATATGTTTTTTCAGTTACATTGAGTGTGTGTATACATTGAGAATATTGGTTCGTAATATTTGGACAAATACCTAGAATCATAAAAACGCTGTACTGTATAACCTATATTTCATTTTTCTCTTAAAAAGTTGTGCCTGAAGCAAACCCACATTACATTCGTACTTTTTCCAAAAAATTAAATTTTATCTATAGATAGAAAAAAAAGCAAAAGTATAAATTGAGGGATATTGATTCGCAATATTTGTGCAAATAGGCAGAATC